AACGGAAAGAAGGGTATTTTTTTTTTTTTTTTATATAAATAACACTATTTGTCAAATTATTATAAAAGTATGCAGTTATAATTATTCTTTATTTCGTAGGAAATATTAAACAAGGCCAAAGTATTTGAAGAAACACTACCTGAAACGCAACGTGCGGCCGCAAAGGTTTATGTTAAAACAATGGAAAGAATATTGGAAAGAGGAGACGTCTTTGTTCAAACAGAACAAACTAGAATAGAAGGCATATTAAAAGGAAAGTTATCGAATGAAAAGAAACGCACAATGGAAGAAAAACGTAATATTCTACATTCCTTCTTGTACAGAGACGAATTATGAGAAAATTAGCGTCACGCAGCATTATAAATTTTTTTACATATCCTTTTGTAAAAAAATACCATTAAAATTCAATATCCAACTGGTTAAAGTCCAGTACTTTTACATTTTGTTTTTATGATTTAAAACAATACAAATATAAATGTAAATCTCTGTTTCATACATTCCAAAATTTCAAATTATCATTTATATAAATGTGAGAAAAATTACAAAGAAAAAAAGTTCAAACCAAATAAAACATATAAAAAATCAATTTCCAATTTTTTTTTTTAGGAAACATGTTTTTTATAAACACTAAAATTTTAATATCATTTCATGCTGACATATGGTATACATAAAAACATATAGTATAGAAGTAGCTTTAAAAATTTAATAAAAATGCAATTGAATAAATTCTCGCATATGTAAAATTAAGCAGCTGTTCTATTTCTAAACTTTTTGTTTCTTTTGAATTTAACGTGTATTAATTTTTTCATCGTGGTATAAATGCTAAAATATTTTTCATTAAGAAATCACAGATAACGCATAACAACCATATAAATATTGTATTATTTATAAATTGAAAATTTGTTTAACCTGTCTATTAACACGTTGTTGTTAAAATATTTTTCTACATTAAATTCAATGATCAAATATTTAAGCATATGCATGCATGTATGTTTATGTTTGTTATGGAATGTGCACTTATTATTAACATTTCTAATTGATGAAGATATAGATTTTTACTTCTCCTCCACATTCTTTACTTGCAATTGTTCAAATTCTTTAGATACCTTCTCCATACTTTCTTCATCTTTTATTTGCTTCTCAGAAGCTTCCATTTTTTCAATTCTATTACTTTCAATTTTTAAATCTCCTTCTATCAATTTATTAGCTTGTTCTTCATTGTCAGTACTTTCACTATAACTTACATCACTAGAAGATTCACTATCACTCTCAACATGCTTTTCTTCAGAGTTATTTTTACCAGCATATATTTCACATTCAGAGCCCACTATCTTCTTTGCTTTTTCGAACGCTTCTTTCCAAACGGTTGCATCTACAGTAGAAAATATTAATAATTACATTAGTGATTGGTAATTTAAATTTTTTCCACATACATAAATATTTATTCATTGATAGTATGTTTGTTTACTTTCTACATTTGCAAATCGTATGGCAAGTAGTTCAGGCTTAAGTTGCTCATCTGCATAATCAGCAAGTACGCTCCATACCCATGCCCTATCACTGCCACAATTGGGTTTCAATTCCATCCAAGGAGTTACAAAATGATTAGCACAGATTTTAAGTGTTTTATCTCTACGCATTACAACTCTTACTGTATTTTTTGTTTTATGTCTTAATAATTTAACCTCTCCAGTGCCACGTTCTTTCCACTCTGCAGGATTATTAGAAGAATCGTAACGATATAATTTTGCTCTCCTGGAAATAAAACAATATATCATAAACATCAGATAAAAAAAAATAATTACGCACATTATATAAATAACTTTTGATAGGCTAAAGTTACATTTTAATCATTTCAACTTCATCTTCTTCATTATTGGATACCTCTATTAACGGCAAAGAAATTATTGGTTCAAAATGTACGTCTACTTCGTTAGTGTCTTCATCGTTATCTTGAGTTTCACAATTAGCACTCTTCACATCAACGTGATCTCCATTTAGCTACAAATCATTTACAAATATGTATACGAATAAACATAAAATCATTTACAAATATGTATACGAATAAGAAATTTTAAAAATATATATATTTAAAGTATGTATTATTATTATCGATTTTACGAAACGAGATACTTTTTAAATCAAATAGATTTATGAGATTCAAAAGAGAGTGTTTTGTTTCTAAACGGACGCGACAATATAACCTACGGCATCATTTGAGAAATTTTAAACAGATTGCAATCGATTTACTCGTTACTGCATCAAATGATAATAACGTAGAAAAAAAAATTACGGAAATAAATGTTAGATTTACCACGTTTTCTGGCATCTTTTATAACTTTTACAAGAGAAATTGTGCGATCACGTATCAAACACCGCTAACTTCGACTTGTTTGATACTAAAACGCGTGATGTATAACAGATTCTATGATAATTTGTAGAGATGTTTCAAATAATGATTATTTCTTGTGGACAAAGGCTCCGTTCCGAAAAATTTTTAAACGGATTAAAACTTGAGATAAAATTGTTTATATACGCGTGGTCCGCCAATTTGTTAAAATAAATAAATTCCAGAAAATGAAATAACTTTAAATCGTCTAGAGTATTTCACTATCAATTTCTTCATCACAAAATATCCCTAGACTGTACAAACTCAAAGCACACCAGTTTTAGTTTTCTTTATATTTACTCTCGAAATGTCTCGAATTTACTCTCGAACTATCTAATAGTTTCTTACTAATTGTCTAGATTGAAATAATTTTGCAACTCGAATCGCAAGTTGTTTTTTTAGTTATTTGTAGTATCGAAATTGCTACTAATCGTAACAAATTGCACGGTCAACGTGTTCCGAGGGTATATCGTATTACGATTCGATAAATCGATCGATCGAGGCCTATCGAACAGAAGGAGCTCGAACTTGAGGAGGGGGTAAAAGGGAGTGGAGTGCGCGGTTGTCCGGGCGGCCATTGCGGGTATATTGTCCGAAACCGCGAATGCAATTGAGTGCTGCGTGCCACACTAGTGAAATCAACGAGAATCAAAGGTCATCCTCGAAAGAAGGTGCTCCGTGTGAAGCCCGGGACGCGCACAAAACCCCGGCCCGATGGCTGAATCAGACAAACTTAATATTGACAACATCATAGCTCGGCTTTTGGAAGGTAAAGCTGCTCATTTGCCCTCCCAGCGGGGGGGTGTGATGAGATCCGAACTGTCGCCCGCGTCACCCTTCGTTATACTTCCCTCATACACGTAACTCGCTTCCTTGCAATCCCGAGCAAAGGTTCGATTCCAGGTATTGCGTCTTGCTGTTTCCCTTTTTATTTTTTTATCTTTTTCCTTATCTATTTTTCTTTGATCGATTACGCAACTGTCTTTAAATATAACTGATCTTAAATATTCTACAGGAACCGACAATTGTTTGTTTACATAAAGTAGAATTCACAATGTGTATAATAGAAATTGCAGGTTCTTAGACGAGGCCTATCTCAATTTAAGTTTCAATAATTGTTCCAATGTACTCCTCTTACGTGCTTTTGTAATTTTTATTTTTACTTGCCTCTATTATTTATGAAGCGACGCTAAATATATTAATAAATGAAATTGATTTTAATATTGTTCAATATTGTTAATGTTGTAAGAAAATAAATTCCTTTATTATATATTTCTTAGGTATTTAATTCTTATCCTTTGAGATTGTATTTTGTTGTATTTAAACAAAGATTGTATTTCAATTTTATAGTGCGGGGGGCTAGGCCAGGAAAAAATGTACAATTGACAGAAGGAGAAATAAAGGGACTTTGCTTGAAGTCACGTGAAATTTTTTTATCGCAACCTATTCTGTTAGAACTTGAAGCACCGCTTAAAATATGTGGTAATTTTACCTTTTATCTTCTAATTTTTGATTACGTGTTATGAAAAATTTTGCACATACAAAAAATAATATGAATTTAATTTTTAAGGTGATATTCACGGGCAATATTATGACTTACTGCGACTATTTGAATATGGTGGATTCCCGCCAGAGAGTAATTATCTATTTCTAGGAGATTATGTTGATAGAGGAAAACAATCCTTAGAGACGATTTGTCTTCTTCTTGCCTACAAAATCAAATATCCAGAGAACTTTTTTTTACTTCGTGGAAACCATGAATGTGCATCCATTAATAGGATATATGGATTTTACGATGAATGTAAGAAATTTGGTTTAAATTATAACTTATTAACCTCAAATGTTTGGCTCTCATGTAACCTTTTCTTTCTGATATTGCTTAGGTAAACGACGTTACAACATTAAACTGTGGAAAACGTTTACGGATTGTTTCAACTGCTTACCTGTTGCGGCAATAGTAGATGAAAAAATATTTTGTTGCCATGGTGGCCTTAGTCCGGATCTACAAAACATGGAACAGATCAGACGTATCATGCGACCAACAGATGTACCTGATCAAGGCTTATTGTGTGACTTATTATGGTCTGATCCAGACAAAGATACAATGGGTTGGGGAGAAAATGACCGTGGAGTATCATTTACATTTGGAGCTGAAGTAGTTGCCAAATTTTTACATAAGCATGACTTTGACCTCATATGTCGTGCTCATCAGGTATCTATGTCATACGCCTGACCTTTAATTTTAGTACATTATTCGGTTAGAACTTTATTTTCTGAATTATTTTTATGTAATTTCATGTTAGTAAATTGCAAATGTGTCTTGTTTAATCAATAATTTTACAATTCGATAAATTCTAAAGGTATTAAGTAAAAACTTGTAAAAATTGTAGGTGGTAGAGGATGGCTATGAATTCTTTGCAAAGAGACAATTAGTTACCTTGTTCTCAGCGCCGAACTACTGTGGTGAATTTGATAATGCTGGAGCTATGATGTCCGTAGATGAAACACTCATGTGTAGTTTCCAAATTCTAAAGCCAGCTGATAAAAAGAAATTAACGTATGGTGGCCTGAATGCGAATAGACCAGTGACACCTCCTCGAGGTGGTGGAAATAACAAAAGCAAGAAGAAGTGAAGCCCTTAGATTTGTTTCTCATATTTTCTTTTGAACGCAATGTTTAGAACTTCAAAACTTCCTTGAACCCCACAGTCTTTTAAGACATTAAGTTCTTGTAAGAGAAAAGATGTTATTGTTATTATTTCTCCTAATATCGCTATTATTATTATCAACGCTATTATCATATTACTTTTGAATTTATCATGAACTCCACCCATACATTAACGATCACATTTTAAGTAAAAAAAAAAAAATTCTGAAGCGGTATAGTTTGTTAGGCAAAATAAAAAAAATAAGAAACGTTCTTCATTAAAATAGAACCACTCAAAGTAAGAGGAAAAAAATGCTATTAAATGGGTGTCTATAAAAAAAAATTAACAATAAGTTCAGTTACTCGAGATTAGATTAGAAATTCATCGCAATTATAAAATTCTATTAGAATAATATATTGTTGCGAACTGCGAGAAACTTTCATGGCAAGTTCATTCTTAATTCGTTGCTTAACATTTTAGAAACCATTTGCGATATCACTGATAAAAAAAAAAAAGAAAAAAGAAAAAAAAACATGGCATGGTACAGTTGATATAATGTTAGAGGCAATTTTATTGTGCCATTCTTTGCTTTGATGGTATACATACCTACCTTATTAATGAGATTAATATATACATAATATCGAGTACATAGTGGTTTTTAACGACAAACATTTCAAAATGTGATATATAAATTTGGCTTTGTTACATTTCTGTAAATTGCACAAAATTTGTAAGTGACATACAGATACGACTTTCGTAAAGAGACCGTTTTTGTAGAATGTGCTTTTGTAATTAAATTTTTATAAATCGCAAAAAAAGCAGAATGTTTTAGCTGTTCAGTAAAAATCAATTTCAATGAATATTTTTAAAGAAAAAACAGAAAGAAAAAGAAAAGAAAGAAGACTTATATATATACATATATATATTCCTTATTTATACCTGTATCCCAAAATAAATTTATGATATAAAGTGTCGTATCATAGTGAAGTTTCATTGGATTCTTCACGACGTGCATTGCGGCTACTAATTTCCGAAAGAGAATGGTAATAGTAGAACTAATAAGAAAACAGGCTGTAAATGTGTATAATGCAGGTAGCAAAGTTATGCATATGTATACATACGATTCAAAAAACAAGAAATATAAGAAGAAACCCCGATTTGTAAGGATTTCATCATATAAACATTAACGGTCCCTTTTGTCGGGAATAATTTCACTAATGTCATGCAAACACATTCATATTTTATTATCAGTCTTATTCGTGTTCCTTTAATGTAATCTTTTTCACGTATCATGTAGATTGTAAAACTATTTTTCAGTGATGTCACAATCGTGTATAAGAAGAAATCATGAGGTACTGTTCTGTAAAAATTAGCGCAACAAATAACACTCATCATGTCCGCCTCCCTTGTAATTGTACATTAATTTCTATCTTCTAAATAAAATTCACGAAAATACACTCATTCACTCATTTATGTTTAATACGTTCAGGCACAATCTTTGATATATCCATAACATTTTTTTCATACTTTACAGAGCCGTCTTGTTTGATCTTTAATTTTTTCACGAGACGTTTTATACACATACCTGAGAAAAACTACTGGTACTATTAATGATATTGTTG